CCAGCCTCCCCACCCTTGGACCCTAATAAAGGCAGAGCGCCCTGTCCACACCCCTACCCCGTCTCTACCCGCAACCTCACCGTGTGGCCCTAGGGTGCTCCGTGTGCCCTCCAGGACCTGTGAATAATAAATCTGTTTTTCTTCCCAAAGTTTCCTGAGGCTTGTTGCTAAGGTGTGTCTTGTGATCACAGTAAGAACCCCAGGGGCCCGTCCAGCCACAACACGTCTGTGGGGGCCTCACCATATTGTGTGGCTCAGGGTGGGGCTCAGGCGTTCCTCGCCACCAGGCTGAGCAGGCCACAGCAACACTTCTGATGTCCCACCGATCCATCAGTGCGTCCTGGTGCCTCCAGCCCGGAACAGGCTGACGGGAAAGTCCAGGCCTCCTCTTCCCTCCCCGACACAGGTCCTCCAGCTCCCCTCCAGGCTCCTCTCCCGCAGCGGCCGAGATGTTCAACAAAACTCCAACGAGCTCATGGCATCCCCCTGTTTGGAGCCCCAGCAGTACCCACTGCACTGCAAAGGAGATCCCAGCGCCGCGTCCCCTCCCCACAGGTGCTGGAGCATCCTCCGTGCTCCCTGTCCTCACTGCTGGCCCACAGCCAGCCCCATGGGGCCTCTCTTTCCTCAACACCCTTGGCACATGCTGCTGTCTGCCTGGAAAGTCTCGACTGACATCTTCACTTTTCCTTTGGCCTTAGTTTAAGTGACACCCTCTCTGTGCTGCAAGGAAAGTGTGGAAGACATCAAATGGGCAAATGAGAAGCCTGAACAGCCTTCCCAATGCGAGTACGAGTCTCCGCGGATCATCCGGTCCCGTAGGGGCGTGTGTGTGCCTGTGTCTGTGATGAGGCTGGCTGACAGCTCTGTGGAGAAAGAAGTTAACTGACAGCAATGCCAATCAGGCCTGCCCCTAGAAAAGCCAGCCACATCCCACCAATGTGACCGGTTACTACCTGTGAGGATGGACAGCACTGCCGGCTGGCGTCCTCGTCGTCCTGCGGAAGAGGTGATGCCAAACATGACGTCTTCTTGCTTTAGACTCAACAATGTTTTAAGAAAGTATTTATTTATCCATTTTTGGCTGCGTTGGGTGTTAGGTGCGGCACAAGGGCTCTTCATTTCAAGAGCTGAAATGTGTGGGCTGATCCTCAGCACCTGGGATCTTAGTTCTCCGACCAGGCATCAAACCTTAACCCCTGCATTGGAAGGCAGATCTTAACCACTGGACCACCAGGGAAGTCCCTAGTCCCTAAACAGTCTTGCATCTGTGATTCGCAAATGGATTTCACCATTCCTGACGTCCCGTGTATATATCTTTTCTTCTGTTTCTCTTTTAAATCAGTTGTAGTCTCTTGATGGCTTCCTTCTTCGTGAATGAGTTAAAATCTCTGATACATGCCACTTTTATACTTATTTGAAAGTCATGCTGTCACCTTTTTTGAAAATTACACTTCTATTCAGTTCTTTACCTTCTGACTGTGCCAGGTCCCAGTTGCAGGGCTCCAGAACTTTGATCTTCGAGTTTCACTGCATCATGTGGGACCTTTTTTAGTTGCAGTACCGGGGATCTTTAGCTGCAGCATACAAACTCTTCCTCAGTTTTGGTAGGTGGAATCTAGTTCCCTGGCCAGGAATCGAACCTGGGCCCCCTGCATTGGGTCTTAGCCAGGAGTCTTAGCCACTGGACCACCAGGGAAGTCAGGTCACTTTTTTAACAGTTCTTGGGATGTAGTGTCTCCCACTTTTGTTGAGTCAATTGATTACTTAATGAAACAGTTCACAAGTTTTTTCCTGATAAAACAGACTATAGATTCTATATTTACCCTTTTATATTACTGGATCCATGTTGTTGTTGAATCGCTCAGTTGTATCTGACTCTTTGCGACCCCATGGACTGCAGCACGCCAAACTTCCCTGTCCTTCAACATTTCCCGGAGCTTGCTCAAACTCATGTTCATTGAGTTGGTGATGTCATCCAACAATCTCATCCTCTGTCATCCCCTTCTCCTCCTGCCCTCAATCCTTCCTAGCATCAGGGTCTTTTCAAATGAGTCAGTTCTTCGCATCAGGTGGCCAAAGTACTGGAGCTTCAGCTTCAACATCAGTCCTTTCACTGGAACCATGATACTATATTGTTTTCTAAATGTAATTATTTGGGTAGCTTCCCATGTCAGTAAACTATTTGTTCATAACATAATTATTAATACTGGACACTCATTCTTTTTACTGTTGTATAGAACACTTCAGAAAACAATCTTATTCAGAAATCTTTGAAGAACATCTCTGAGTATGTTCTGGAGTTACATTCCTAAAGGAGAAATTGCTAGGTCAAAGGTTGTTAAGTGTATATACAGGTTTTGGCATGTATTGTCAAACGAGTCTCTATTCTAAAATTGTACAGTGACTTGTTTTCCTTTCCTCTCTTTGCCACAGAAAGATGAAATGCAAATATTTGCCCTCATATCCTGGCAGAGTCTAAAGATTCTGTCTTTCTTGCCCTGGAGGAAAGAACGAGTTCTCCAATTGCTAAAGACTTGATCTCAGGCTAATCTTGCCCTCAGGTCTGCTGGGAATGATGAGGAGACAGGAAATGCTAGAAACAGGAAGAGGGAAGGAATTCCCCCAGTCTAAATGAAGGCAGGACCAGAAAGTCTGGCGAAGTTCTGTGCCAGGGCTCTGCTCCATGCCTCCAGAGCCCAAGGAGCCCAGGTTTCACCAGGTGCCAGGGTCTGGGAGTGCCCAGAGAGGACCCACTTGACCAGAATGTGGCTCTCACCCACGCCTGCCCAGCACCCAGCTGTGTTGCCAACCTCCCTCACCCCACACCTGCCACCTCCACCCTCCCCCAGCAAAGCAGACATCCGGCCAGGATGCCTTGTTGGGGCCCAAATTCATGTCACCTACAGGCTGCAAATACCTGCCTCCTCAAGCCCCCAAGTGCATTAGCCTGGCTGCTCCAGTCCACCCCCAATAGAACAATTAAAGGTTAATATCCATTGAGACACGGGACCTCCAAGAGACTCAGACTCCAGCCACCCTCTTCTGTTTCCTGCCTGTAAAGAACTGGCTGTTCAATATTTTTTATGTTGTCCCTACACTTGTCACCTGTCCTGGGGGCGGGAAGCGGGGTGGTCAGGAACTTCCTTGCAGGAACTGACTGGAATAAGCCACAGACTCTCTGAGCTGGGACAGTGTAGTTACTGTCATCTGCGTTTCTCCTGCTTTCTCTTCCAACCTGATTAACCCCCTGCGTCCTTCCCTGGTGCTTCCCATGGGCCCCGTCTCTCACAGCGGTCCTAGACCCTAGTTCGCAGGGCTCCAGAATCATCCACACCTCAGTTGCAACTGCCAGCTGCCACACTCAACACATGACCTCACTTCAGCCTCCTTACTCTGCTCAGAGCACTGTCCTCCCCACCGGACCTAGGAGGAAATGAGCACAGAAAGGGGAGGAGCTCACCCCAACTTAGAAGACTGGGAAGAAGGAAGGCCAAGAGTGAAATGCCCCGTGGCCACTTTAAGACCTTTATAATCCATAAACCTGAAGCCTCCACTATGTGCCATCAACATGTGAACACACACCTCCCTTTGCCCAGTGAATATAATGACCCCTTAACTACATGCTCTGAGTTGCAGGTGGCAAATAAACATAGTGACTTCTTGGAGACTTTTAATACACACCTATTCTTTTCAATTTGGCAGCTCTGTTTTCAGATTTGAGAGTAAGAACTCTTTTTCAGGATGCAGACATTTTTTAAGTCCCACCGTGAAAGGCTACTACAGGGTGAAACCTTGTTGGTCTTCGCCCCCTCCCACTGCAACACAATCCCCATTTCACACACAAGAAAACCACACACAGGATCCCTCTGGGTGCAAGCAGAAGAGGGCTGTGACTCACCCTGGTTGAAGCAAAATAGCATGACTGTGTTACTACCAGTTTACTACTCCCGGAAACACCTGACCAGGAAGAGAAAATGTGCAAATAATTTTACACCTTGACCTCAGAAAAATCCATCAAAAACCACACGATTTTTTAAAACAGGTAGTATCAAATAACTGGCGAAGATCCAAGACTCCCTTGCTGAGACTATAAACCTTCAACTACCATGACCAACAGCCCTAAACTATGTAACATGATCCCTACAATCCTCATTAAGGTCCATCTTAAATTAAGCCAGACTCTGAAACCTATCTCAAATTTGCCCTCTCCAGGAAGGAGTCTTTCAAGATGCTGCTCCCTGAACAAGGGAAGCAACAAACGCAGTTTTGTCTTAGCGACAGGCTGTTTTGATGGTATTTTCAAGGAACCAGTATTTGATGAGAGGAACAGGACCGACACAGAGGGCACAAAGCGCTGCAGTAAACCCCCCTGGAGGGGTGGGCGTGCTAAGTTGCTTCAGCTGTGTCCGACTCTTGGCGACCCCATGGACTATAGCCCACCAGGCTCCTCTGATCTAAGGGGCTCTCCAGGCAAGAACACTGGAGTGGGTTGCCATGCCCCCCTCCAGAGGATCTTCTCCACCCAGGGATTGAACCTGCGTCTCTTACATCTCCTGCATTGGCAGGCGGGCTCTTTACCACTAGCGCCACCTGGGAAACCCTGAGGGGTGGGCGCTACCTGCCAACAGGGACAAAGGGGCACAGGTGCCTGGGAGTCAACCCACAGCGTCTGCCGCAGTAACCCGAGCCTAGCCAGGTCAAACGCCTCGCCCAAGGCCACGCAGACTGTTGACAAAAAGCTGGGAGGAGAACGCAGGCCTTTCCGCCGGGCGAGGCATGGCCCTCGTCCGCACCTGCACCGGAAGCCTGGGAAGCTCCTTTCCTAATTTCCCGGGCTCTGCGGCCTCAAGGTGACTCAGGAGGAAACTCCTGTCCCTCGTCCCTCCACACTAATCCAGCCCGAGGACAATATAAACTAATTGCCTACAGATTAATTCACTCCAGCCAGCTAATGACCCAGGCTTACTCTGGACACTCAGCCCGCGGAAGCACAGAGGATGCCGGGAAGGCAGAGGACAGTCGACTTCCGTCTGCAAAGGCTGCCGGGTAGGGGCTTAAGGTGGGTGTCCGCGTGACTGGGTGGGGGGTCGAGAATTCTGGTTTCTCAGACTAGGGCCGAAGGGCGTGTGCGTACTCGCGGTGAGGGGCGAGCCCTCCACGCTTCGAGACCCCTGCTAGCGGCGCCGGTCCTGGACGAGCCCGAAATACAAGGAAAAGCCCCTCCATGATCCAGGAGCCCCCAGGGGCCGCGGACCCCAAGGGCCTCTGTCCTGAGCTGCCGATCAGATTGTGTCTGGCGCCCCCCGGTGGCTGTTTGGGGGACTCCAGCCCGGCTTTCTGCTTCCCACGGAGCTGCATTCCTCCTCCCGCTTTTGTTTCCCCGCCTAGTGGAGGAAGTAAAATATACACCTAACCCTTGGCCAACAAGGAGATCCAACCAGTCCATCCTAAAGGAAATCAACCCTGAATATTCATTGTAAGGACTGATGCTGAAGCGGAAGCTCCAGTACTTTGGCCCCCTGATGCGAACAGCTGACTCATTGGAAAAGACCCTGATATTGAGAAAAATCGAGGGCGGGAGGAGAAGGGGGCCACAGAGGATGAGATGATTGGATGACATCATTGACTCAATGGACATGAATTTGAGCAAACTCTGGGAGGTAGTGAAGGACAGGGAAGCATAGCATGCTGTAGTCCACAGGGTCATAAAGAGTCGCACGCGACTGAGCAACTGAACAATATAAATCAAAAATGGGAGGAGAGAATATGTTGAGTTTTGCAAGCTGGATGTGCAATACAGTCTTTTTATCTTTTAAAACTCATTGTTAAAAATTACATTATCGGGATTTCCCTGCTGTGGACCAGTTTAGTGGTTGAGGATCCACCTTCCAAGGCAGGGGAAGGGGTTGCAGTTTCCATCACTGGTCGGGGAACTTAGATCCCACATGCCGGCTGGCAGTTAAGCCTGGTCGCTGCGACTACTGAGCCCAAGCACTCTAGAGCCTGTGCTCCACTAGGAGGGAAGCCCTCACATGGCAACAAAGACCCAGCACATTAAAAAAAAAAATTGCATTATATAAACTTATAATTAAATTATATTGACAAAAGTAGCAAATAAAAGTAATCACTTCTATTTATTTTACTATTGTCTATGTTCTTGAGGTTTTTGTATCTATTATATCCATATGGTGGAAATACCAGTGATGTGCTTCTATACATTTACATCTGACTCCACCTTCAGTGACCACCTTGGTAGTCTGACGTCAGCCATAAAGGGAATATTTACACCGAAATTGGCAAACTCTAGAAATCAGTCCCTACCCCACCCTCACTTCCCATGGAGGTCAAACATTCACCAGCACACCACTTTGGTCAGACAAGGATGCCCCACATCTTTTGTGTGTGTGTGTGGGTGGGGTGGGGGGGTATGTGTGTGTGGTGGGGCAGGCAGCATAGCAACATAATTGCTTTCCTCTTTAAGGCCCAGCACAGGTCCTGACCACGGGTGCTCAGTGAGTGAGGAAGGGAGGGAGAGAGGAAATTACCTGCTAAACTGGGCTGTCTCTCCATTTTCTTAAGATCAACTTGTCCAACCTTGACTGTGACTCTCAACTGACCTTTTTCCAAGTGACCTAACAGTGCTCATTGCATGGTGTGCAAGGCCTTGAATGCCAACAATTCAAGTAGTTTCCCTGGTGAAGTTCAGCCAGGGAAGGATTTTGAGCTGGGGGTGATATAATTCAAATTTTACTTTGGGTTGAGAATTGGGCCTGCGTGCAGGACAGGTTAAAGAGAGGAAGGAACGGAATCAAGGAAACCAGCCTGTTCATTCAAGACTTGATTCAGCACTCAGGCCCTGTGTAGGGGCAAGGCTGTGAAAAACAGTGTAAATCACAATCCATGGCCCCGGGGAGTTCAGGAGATAGTAAACTGACAAATACTACGAGTGTGATAAGTGCATTGAAAAAAGCAGGTCCAGGTGCCAACGGGTGACTCACTCTTCCTGCACTTGATCTTAGCCAAAAGGCCAACAAGCAATTGACTCATTCTTTCTGGAAGAGGCAAGGAAGATGTGACCCAGCCCGGACAAGTGGGGCTTGTAGCTGTCAAAAGAAGAGGGGCGGCTCCCAGGCCGCTCAGGCAAAGGCCTGGGTCTGTAGAGGGCCTTGGAGATTGGGCTGGAAGAGGAGCGCTGAGGGGAGGGAGATGGGTCTGGAAACATGGTGTTCCCACGGCCAAGGCTAAGCCGCAGTGGTCAGCATGGGGCACAGAGCCGGTCCTGACCGAGTGGCTGGGGGGTGTTCCCTGTATTCTCCTGTCCTGATTGCCGTGTCTGCAGCGACACGCAGTTCCAGCCACATCTACCTCCTTCTGTGATCCAGCCAGAAGGAATACTGATTCCCAGTGTGGCTGAAGGTTCCTGACTCCACACCTGGCCCATGCTGCCTGTCAGAAGCTCTTTTCAAGCACACTTGTTTTCTCTGTCTCTGTCTGTCTGTCTCTCTCTCTCTCTCATACACACACACACACTCCATTTTGGAAACTTTATGCAACTTCATCATTTAGCTGGGTGTCTGGATTCAAAGTCAGTCCCCTGAAGATATTTTTAAAAAATAATTTAGGGACTTCCTTGTTGGTCCAGTGGTTAAGACTCTGTGCTTCCAAGACAGGGGGCCTGGGTTTGATCCCTGGTCAGGGAACTAGATCCCACACGCCATAACTAAGAGTTTGCATGCTGCATCTAAAGGTCCCAAGTGCCACAATTGACAAAACACAGCCAAATAAACTAATAAATATCAAGAGTAAGAATAAATAAAGAAATGGGGAAAGGACCTGAGTCACTAGTTTTCCAAAGAAGACACATGATTTCCAATAGGTATATGAAAAGATACTTGACATTCCTAATCATTAAGAAAATTCAAATAAAAATCACAATAAAAAAGAAAAAAAACACTGAGATATCACCTCACACCTGTTAGAATGGCTAATACATATGGCTTATGGAATCTTAGTTCCCTGACCAGGTATCAAACCCAGGCCTACAGCAGTGAAAGCACAAAATCCCTGAGGATGGCTAATATTGACATTAAAAGACAAGAGCTAACAGGCGTTGGGTAGGGTATGGAGAAAAGTGAACACTTGTTCATTGTTGCTGGGATATAAATTGATATAGACATTACAGAAAACAGTATGGCGGTTTATCATAAAAATACTATTACCTTATGTTTCAGCAATTCAACTTCTGGGTAGATATCCAAAGGAAATAAAATCAGTATTTCAAAGATATTTGCATTCCCATGTTTTTTTTTTTTCATTTATTTTTATTAGTTGGAGGCTAATTACTTTACATCATTGCAGTGGTTTTTGTCATACATTGAGATGAATTAGCCATGGATTTACATGTATTCCCCATCCCAGTCCCCCCTCCCACCTCCCTCTCCACCCGATCCCTCTGGGTCTTCCCAGTGCACCAGGCCCGAGCACTTGTCTCATGCACCCAACCTGGGCTGGTAATCTGTTTCACCCTAGATAATATACGTGTTTCGATGCTGTTCTCTTGAAACATCCCACCCTCGCCTTCTCCCAGAGTCCACAAGTCTGTTCTATACATCGGAGTCTCTTTTTCTGTTTTGCATATAGGGTTATCATTATCATCTTTCTAAATTCCATATATATGTGTTAGTATACTGTAATGGTCTTTATCTTTCTGGCTTACTTCGCTCTGTATAATGGGCTCCAGTTTCATCCATCTCATTAGAACTGATTCAAATGAATTCTTTTTAATGGCTGAGTAATATTCCATGGTGTATATGTACCACAGCTTCCTCATCCATTCGTCTGCTGATGGGCATCTAGGTTGCTTCCATGTCCTGGCTATTATAAACAGTGCTGCGATGAACATTGGGGTGCACGTGTCTCTTTCAGATCTGGTTTCCTCGGTGTGTATGCCCAGAAGTGGGATTGCTGGGTCATATGGCAGTTCTATTTCCAGCTTTTTAAGAAATCTCCACACTGTTTTCCATAGTGGCTGTACTAATTTGCATTCCCACCAACAGTGTAAGAGGGTTCCCTTTTCTCCACACCCTCTCCAGCATTTATTGCTTGTAGACTTTTGGATAGCAGCCATCCTGACTGGTGTGTAATGGTACCTCATTGTGGTTTTGATTTGCATTTCTCTGATAATGAGTGATGTTGAGCATCTTTTCATGTGTTTGTTAGCCATCTGTATGTCTTCCTTGGAGAAATGTCTGTTCAGTTCTTTGGCCCATTTTTTGATTGGGTCATTTATTTTTCTGGAGTTGAGCTGGAGGAGTTGCTTGTATATATTTGAGATTAATCCTTTGTCTGTTGCTTCATTTGCTATTATTTTCTCCCAATCTGAGGGCTGTCTTTTCACCTTGCTTATAGTTTCCTTTGTTGTGCAAAAGCTTTTAAGTTTCATTAGGTCCCATTTGTTTATTTTTGCTTTTGTTTCTAATATTCTGGGATGTGGGTCATAGAGGATCCTGCTGTGATTTATGTCGGAGAGTGTTTTGCCTATGTTCTCCTCTAGGTGCACTCCCATGTTAATTGCAACAGTAGTATGGAAACAACCCAAGTGTCCATCAATGGATGAATGGATAAAGAAAATGTGGTGTAAATATACAGTGGAATATTACTAAGCCATAAGAAGATGGAAATCTTGGATTTCCCTAGGGGTCCAGTGGTTAAGACTCTGTGCTTCCAATGCAAGGGGCATTGGTTCAATCCCCAGTTTGGGAATTAAGATCCCACGTGCCTCACAGCACAGCCAAAAAAAATATATTGTTTTTAATTTAAAAATAAAAAGAGGGGGCTGGGAATCCTGCCATTTGGGACAATGTGGATGAACCTGGAGGACATTATGTTAAGTGAAATAAGCCAGACACAGAAACACAAAAACTGTACGACCTGACTTCTACATGGAATCTAAAAAGCCGAACTCAGAGAAGCAGAGAGTACAGTGGTGGTTGACAGGGGCTGGGCGGTGGGGGAAATGAGGAGATGCTGGTCAAAGGGTACAAATT